GAAAAACGGGTTCACGTCAATAACATAAAACGATTTTACGATTAATAATTATTTTCTTTCTCCTTCTCTCTATCTCGCATTACTAGTTCATAAAGCATTTTCGTTTCTATATATTCTCTTTCATTAGCAAAAGGTGCTTGTCGACAATAATATTATTCACAATTACATAATATTATTCACGAAATGCATCTTTGACAATGTCATTAGACGATTCTCATACCCATTATTCATCGAAAAACTAAAAATCATCTTATAAATCCAATATTTTTCTTCTCTTTTCGACTATTTTTTTTTTCTCTCTTTTCAGATTATTTACAATTTTTTATGGTGCGCAGGCACAGAAAAATTTTACAGTACAGGAACTATCCCAACCTTCGGGTATATTCTTTGAAAATCGAGGCACAGTTAGAGTTATCACTTCTACATGGACGCTAGCAGCTTATTTTAGTACAATTTCATTTCAGCAGGATGCTATTACGCTTAACCATACGGTTCAAAAATCCCAAACTTTGTGTGAGCATGGCAACCTTAACACTCATCTTTCTCAAGATGTTAAAGACGCTTGTTGGACCTTTGTTAGTTCTTTAAAGGCTATGGTTAATGATGCCATAGAAAAACGCTCGTTACTATTAGACTCTATCGGTCACCAAACGCGTGATAAAAGATCAGCTCCTTTCGAAATGGTAGGTCAAATAGCACATAATTTATTTGGGGTTTGTGACGAAAATTGTGTACGTAAGTACAATTTCTATATATCTACACTAGAAAACCAAAATATAAATACCTTAAAGCTTGTTAATAAACAAACTAAAATTATTAAATTATTACAAAAAGAACATACATTTCTTAATTCTTCTATTTCTTTTTTGTCAACTTCAATGTCTAATATGAGTAAGGAAATGTCAGAATATTCTTTTGCTAACATTATGGGAGACCATAATACGCACGTTAAATTAATTCTTGGTGCATACATGCACAACACAACTATCTTAGCAGACGTATTAAATTACGCTTCGACAGGACATATTCATCCATATGTATTAAATAAACAAGAATTTATTAACAATCTAAGAGACATCAAGGTTTCTCTTCCATCAGGGACAGACTTACCTGTCAGTATTAGTGATCAAAATTTAGCCGAACTTATACAATTATCAGACTTGAGTATATTTGCTACTAATAACAGTATTGTATTTTTAATTAAACTACCGTTAGTTTATCAAACTCATTTAACATTGTATTCAGTTCTCGCTAAACCTGTTAAAATGTATAATAATAACATATATGTTTATGTTAAACCTGCTTCCCAATATTTAGCTATAAGCAGATCGCATGAATATTATACTAGTTACTCCGAGTTGGACCTATTAAGATGTAAGATATCCACTTCTTTTTTGCTATGTCCAGAAATCCAAACACTACATCCTACAAATTTAAAACCTACTTGTGAGATCACATTATTCCAAAATCCACGATATTTCCCTTCTAATTGTCATATCCAATACTTAAATTTATCTTATTCTATTTTTCACAAATTACATACTAAAAACCAGTGGTTATTTGTTACTCCGTTCGATGTTCTTTACATTACTTGCGATGACATCACTGAACGTATTACAGCCACTATCGAAGGGGTAGGACTATTATCTCTTAATGAGACTTGCACAGCGTACGGTCAAAATGATATCCTCCTTCCTACTCCTATCTCTCATGAACATTATATTGATGTAATTCCCCTTACAAATATTGTACCTCTTACCGACAATTCATTAATTAATTACCCTATTACAGTAATTTCTGATTATATATCTATTCATAATCTTAACGATTTATTAAAACTAAAATCTAATTATATACAGCCAGAGCATGTTCAATCGTACTCTCTTTTTATTACAGTTCTTATTATATTATTAATTGGTAACCTAATTTTCTTTCTTATTTTTACTACTGTCAAATTACTCAATAATAAAACACCCACAATCAAAGGAACAGCAGAAGAATTAACTGAACTTCATAATAATACAGATAAGTGTAATGATACAACTATTGTTTTAGATCCCAACCCTTCTGTAACAAATGTAGTTAATACAAGTCACTTTGACATACCTCATTCTAGTACTATGTACTCGGTATATCCAAGACTTTAATTTTTTTTATGTATTTGTTCTGTTTAATTGGTATTAACTATTGTTTATATATATATACTTATGTATAGGTGATGGATGTTATTTTAGATTAGCATTGTTTACTATTGTCTATCTTTGTATTATTGTATTATTATTATTGTTTATTTTGTTTAATTTTTTTTTTTTTTTTGGGGAAACCCCATTGTTTTCAATGTATTTTCCATTTTGTGGTGGGGGTGTAGTAAGCACACGCTTACTTATTACTTATTATATTATTATATTATTATTATATTATTATTTATATTTACGTACTTATCATGTACGTCACTATGGCGTACATCTTTCAGGTCTCATATTACTTCCTTGACTAGCTATTTTGCAATCTGAGTAATTAACAACTTTGTTATTTGTTGTTTATACTAGTTTCTCTTGTTCTAAACCTAGTTTATGTTGTTTGTTACAATTTACTAATTTACATATTACTATTTAAGCTTATCTATTTCTCTGTACAATTGTCAGTCTTCAGCCAGTCAGTTATAACGTATTTTATTCAGTGCTTATTAAACAATTAAACTTATTTTCCAAAAGTGTTTTTATTTATAAAAGTCTACGTTTGTTCTCATATACTTTATGTATGTAAAACCCCTTTCCGGGCTTACTACATAATGGGAGTGGGCCGAGATTTATTCCTATGTTTTTTTTAATAAAGAACATTTTTTTTTTCAAAATGCGAAAAAAAAATTTAATTTCAGTTTTCTTATTTAAATTTTTTTTGCATATTTTGGGAGTAAAAAGTGAAAAATGTTCCTTACGAATAACATTAAAAATAATACAGGGGCATAGTGTGGACGTGTGTGCCACGCGGCATTTGAGGTTAAAATGTGTCTCTTACTGCTTGATCCAGGATGGGTGACCACTCGGGAAAATGATTCTGATTTTATGATAAAAATTTCAGAAATTTAAAACTGGTCGAAATCAATTTTTTTTTAAATATAACTTTAAAAACCTCTATTTTTTGTGGCAAAAATTTCAAAAAAATAGAAGTCTTATATTAGACCAAAAGAAGGAAAAAAAAAAATTTCAAAACAATTTGAGGAGGTCAGGCCGATAACCGCGTGGTTTGACTCAGAATACGATATATTTTTCATTGCTAACCCAAAATAACACTTGGTTTGTAACCATGGTAACCACGGTACTCGAGCGAATGGTAGGTGATTAAAGGAACAGGCCGATTCGGGGGATGCTCTTCACGGTTGGAACTGGATCTGGGACTGGGACCCTTGAGTAAGAGAGGGACATAATTCATAAAATGTAATGTAAAAACGCTGAGACGGGTATGCTAAAGCTTTACAATCTACAGCCTAGAGTACTGACTTTTATATAATATTGTAAATAGTAAACATCTTTTTAAACATTATATCTGATTTTATGAGTGAAGTACCAACAATAAAGTTAACCTATACCTATGATATTTTGTTATTTTTAACTAATATATTCGTCTCTGTTTTCCTCTCCTCAACAATACATAGTTCACTGCTCAGACATCATATCCCTCACTGCAACTCTCTGTCATCGTGACGTCGTATAAATTCACTGCATACATCGCCCTTGATAGCAACGAATATTATGTTGGTTAGAATAGGTTCCTCGAATTGTCCAACTGTCGTTTTTGTACCTCTTTCTTGATTTCTATGCAACATTTTATGGAAATACTTTTACGCTAAACCCGTTCAATTCTTTAGAAAAGTGTTTTGACAAAACATATTTTATGCGCCGAAAAAAGTGGTGTGGCTCTTAATGTTAAAATGATGCTCTTAGACGAAGACCCAGCCATTCAATACTTAATAAACTTTGATGGATTATCGTGTATTTACAGTAGGTAGCCTTTCCGGTTAATCGTTCATGACCAGTATTCGTATCATCACACTACTTTCTCCCGTCTTAAACTTTAAAAGTGATAATCTAAAACGCGTTATCGACCAGTCTACATTTTCAGTAAATTATTCTTAATTAAAAAAATTAGTTTTATAATAATATAAATTAAATTATTAAAAAAAAGAAAAAATTAAAAAACTGCAAAACTCTTTACAAATTTGAAACTAATTTGACTATTTTTAAAAAATTATAGAGCCCCGTAATTTTAAGTTAAAAATCTGTAATTTTTTAGGTGTTTTTCTCGATTTTGAAGGGGAAGGTTGTAAGTATAAATATGGTATTAAATTTTTGGCCCAATAAAGTACATTTCGGGTCTATTTCTAATCTATAGAGTTGCAACACGAAGAAATTATTTCACAATTTAGAAGATATCATGAGTCGATACAAAAAAAATAAAACATATTGTAAAATTATTACCTTCTCAGCCCCTCATAGAAGTTAAAAATAATTATGAAAAAAAAACCGTAGAAAAATATTTTAAAACTACACGAGAGAACTAGTATTTCTTTATTCAATACACTCAAAATGTATACATAAATCTGGTAACATTATCAATTATCATATTACAATAAAAATTAATATTTCCGAATAAATCGTAACTTAAACATAACAATATAATATATATACTGTTATATATGCTATGAACCAAAATTGCAACCCAGATAGATTGGAAACAAAACAGTTATAACTTATAAATGACTTTTATTTCGTGTTATTACACAAGTCATACTAATTTGATATGACTTAAGAAATTAATTTTATAAATAATAGAAAAACATCTTTGTATTAATTAATTTAAAAATTGATTAAATAAATTTAAAATTAAAAAACAATTATTTCGTTGATAATAGTTATTAAAATATAGTCGAATTAAGGAAGAACATTTTACAAAAACTACATTAAAATATAATTTTTTAATTAAACAGCAAATTTGTCATCAACAATTATAGCAATTATATTACAGTTAAACATTTTAGGTCATTCATATTTTTTTGTAACAGACAGTAACCAATGAACTGATTTTTATATTATGACTAAAATTGTATTCTTATGGTTACAGACAATAGCCAAAAAGTACAGTGAATATTTATTTACTCAATATAATATATACAATATATATTTTTATTATTATATGCAATTTTGACATTATAAGCTAATTATTTCGCCTCCTAACAGCTTTAGCTTTTCTCCTCTCTCCAGCTGGAGCTGCACCAATACTGAATAATGCTTGACCTGATCCCTGAATTCCTGTCCAAAATACAATTTTAAATTTACAGTGTTCAAAATATTATTCTAAGTTCCAAGTATTTGCTTACCTGGTGCTTGTTGGGGAGGTGTTCCAAAACCAAATGCACCTAAAAAATATATATAAATTCAGGTATTAACAAACTAGTAACTTAAATTAAAAATAATGACTTCTGGGTCTAGCTAAAATGCGAAACAAAATATCAGAAATTTAATAACACAGCTAACTATTAATTTTCTATTATATAATTTTGTCTTTTTGACCCAAAGTCCAAGTATGGACATTTTATACTAAAATAACAAATAATTATTTAAAAAGAAAACATTTTTGAAACAATTTATTAGTTATAATTTAAAATATTTTCTTAAATACATTTTTATTACAGTTAGAAAAGAGTTTTGTGTTTAAAATAAATTAACACAAATAAAAAATGTATTTTAGATTATGCTACACATTAAAAAAAAAATACCTTGTTGTTGTCCTCCAGTAAATTGAGGAAGGGAAGACACTGATAGTGCTTGTCCAAACTGGAATGGTGAAGCTCCTGTCGGACCTGCATTGAAACCAAAAGCGCCTTCTGACTTTGCTGGCTGTGGTGGCCCACCAAAGCTAAATGTTGTTGATGGATTACTAGGTACCGAGTTATTTGTACTGCCAAACTGGAAACCCCCACTGGACCCAAATGAGGCAGACGAAGGTGAAGCTACATTTCCAAATGATGATTTGGATTCAGGAGCGACGACATTACCGAATGGAGAAGGTTGTGGTGGTGAAATATTGCCAAATGCAGGTGTTGGCTGTGATGACACTGAAGTGCCAAAGCCACTAAACCCTGAAGGACTGAATGCATTTGTATTTTGACCGAACTTAAGTGGTTCACTATCAGCTTTTTTGGCTCCACCAAACTGAAATGCATTGCTGGCTGAAGCTGGTGCACTGAATTTGAAAGGTTCAGATTTTGGTTCTGTTTTGTTATGGAACTGCAGGGATTGATTTGGTGGAGTAAACGTATTTCCAAAAGCTGTAGGCTTATCACTTCCTCCAAATTTAAATGGAGCAGCAGCTGCAGTTTGCGACCCAAAAGCTGGAGTTGAAAACTGAGTTTTTTGATCATCTGTTTTTCGGGCATTAAATTCGAATGCTTTTTTGTCCACAAAACTTGGTGGGGATGACAGCAAACCAAATGAAGGTGTAGATTTTGCTGCAGAAAACTGAAAAGTGTTACCTAACGATCCTGGTGGTTTTTCATCGCGTTTTGTACTTGTACTGTTAAATTGAAATACAGGACTCGTTGCATTATTACCGCTATTATTAAACATTGGTATGTTAAAAGACCCTCCTGGAGTTGACGTTACTGGTTTTACTTCTGTACTCGAGGTTCCAAAAATCAATTTAGTGTCTTGGTTATTAACAGGCAGGCCAACAGTGTTGCTTAATTGAGTTTTAGTTTGATCTGTTAACGAGTTGCTAAATACCGAAGAAGACATTGCGCCAAACTGTAATTTTGTAGCAGATCCTTCAATTGTAGATTGTGGTGTAAGATTAAATTTGGCCGCAACACTTGCAGTTGTTGTTTTTGGTTCAGTGGGTTTTCCGAAACTAAACGGACTTGCACCCAATGCTGTAGTATTCGACCCAAACAAAGTTTTAGATTCAGTTCCAGTCGAGGTAGTAGGAATGCTATCAACAGGTTTGGTTGGACCACCAAATTGGAATTTTATAGGTTCTGGAGCTTTTGTATTCTCAGTAACATTTTTACCAAATGAAAATACAGGTTTAACTGCACTTGTGTTTTCTGGTGCATTAGGAGAAACGTGTTTTGGTTGTTTTTCGTCAGTTTTTGGCACTACAAATTGCATATCTGGAACTGTAGACTTTCCAACATTAGACGATCCAAACTGCATAACAGACAGGACCTTATCATTAGATTTAGGAGCACCAAACTGAAATGCCGGTGTAGACTGTTTATCATCAGTTTTAGCTGTTCCAAAAGTAAAGGTTGGTTGTTTAGGTGAACTCTCCAAATTCAATACTGGATTTTCTTTAGATTTTTTTAATGGCGACTGAGTACCAAACTGTATTACTGGTATGTTCTGATTTTTATTTGTTTCGTTCTTGGTAGTTTCACTGACAGCTGCAGGTTTATTGGAATCTGTTGAACTTGAATTAGGCTCAATAGACTTTGAAGTTTGTATAGAAAACTGAAATGGAGCTTTTTCAATGTTGATAATTTCTTTTGTCGAATTCTCATTAACTTTAGGAGTTTGGGAAATTGGTTTTGCAGGTTCAATAATATTAAAATCGGTTTTTGGTGTTTCAACAATATTTTTTAAAGATTGACTTTCATTTTGTTTCCCATCAATTTCACTTTTATCCTTCAGATTTTTAGGTAGATCAACAGATTGAGTTGTTGTGGCGATAGATGACGTAAAACATGGAGGTAATTTTGATTGGTTTAAATCAGAAACAGAAGTTGTCAATACTGGTGTAATAACCGAGTCGGAAGTTAAATTAAAATTTGTGTTTTTTAATAAAGAAGAGTGTTGTGAATCGTTGGTGGATACAGCTGAAAATAATAGAACATAATCAGTGAATATTAATCTATCTAAAACACAATTTACTACATACTTTTTTCTTGGACATTATTTTTTTTTTGTTCTATTTTTTCTAAACTAGTAAATGGTTCAGGATCGACATCATCAAATACCTCATCGAGTATTGTTTTCATACTTTTTCTTTTAACAACCTGCATTTTTCCACTTCTATTGAAAATTCGGCTAGCTGCAACTGTCACTAAATCATCTGATATATCAGTTTCAGTAGTTTTATCAATTTTATTTAACGGGTTTTTGTCATTGTGCAACAATATTGTAGATCCACAACAAGTACAGCTTTTGCAGTGTTTTGGACTGGGACAATAATCATCTTCAGAGTCTAAAAAATAAAAAATTATTATGTAATATAATAAATACCTAAGGTAATATTTATCAAAATTTAAGATTGAAAATAACAACATATCATGTAGATACTTACAACTTAAAACTTAACACTCAGTATCTAATTCAATTTATAACTTATTGTAAATTTCTAATTGAAATTTATTTTTTTTAAAAGAAAGATATTAAAAATTACATTTTTAAGCAGTAATTTTTTTAATTTTATAAAATTATTTTGTAGTAACATGTTTTATAATACTTAAAATATATAGAGATGTTTTTACAGGGTTTGAAATAATAGCGTCAAAGCTATAACACTTCTTTTTATAATACATATTGTAAATATTTAATTCTTATAATAAGAAAAACCCAATTTTCTTTCTTAAAATTTTAAACTATAATGAAAGTAAATATACGTATAATGTATACATAAATTATCATACGGTAAATTATAGTTATGAAACCCATACGAATTTAAGAAATAAGTAGGTATCAAAAACTAAGAGATTTTTTCTTTTAGTTAAATTTTCTTTAACATATAGAATGTTTGTGATCACAATAAATAATTTTAATTTATAGTTTTTTATTAAGGCAAGTCATATTGTAAGTTAAAACATCATATAGATTTAATGAATTGAAAGCATTGTATTTTAATAATATTTGAAAACATTTTTTAAACACTATATTTGTTGCAAAAATATTTATAGGTAATTGAAAATTTCATCTGGATCATATGGCAATTGTTATTATAAGATAAGATTATAATATATGATATATGATATCGTATTATATTCTTTGACAAAACTTGAATGAGCAAAAGTTGTTATTTTAGGGAAGAAGATGATGGTGGGATGGTTTCCTATTTTCTACTGCACCAGTCTAGTGGGCCATAAATGCTAGAAAAATGGCCACTGGCCGAGATTCGAACCAAGCCTAGGTGAGTAGAAGCACTGCCGCGTTAAGCCTCTCGGCCATGGCGCCACCATTTTATAATATATGAAATATAATTGTATTAGTTGAGATATCTGATGTATGTACACGTATGTACATATATATACAAATGTTTATATTTGCCTCTAGTCAATTCTTACAATTAATAATGCAAGTTATACCATAAAAAAATATTACCATTAGGATAGGTTCTTTTCTGTCCGGGTGTAAGTAGAAACTTGCTAGAGCTGTAAGAACTAAAAATTTCATTGTTTCGAGTTTTAGGCCGCTTTTGTAAATGATTATCATTATACTTATCTCCATGTCTTTTGATTCTTAAAAATAAAAACATTATTAACGTTTGAACAATTTTCTTATGTTAACATTTTATAATATACAATATTTGATCTGTAGCTTAGAATTTTTTGAAGATACTCATTGATTCAAAATAGTAGGCACATACACAAAAATAAATAAATCACATAAAATAAAAAATTACATTGTTGTAAAATTCTTACTTTTTCAACTACAACTAAGTAAATTTGTATTGTTTTAAAAACAATATATTAAAATTTACTCACAGTTTTTTTTCAATATCACCACGAACTGTTTTTGCATTAATTACTGTTCGAGGAACTACGCTGTTATTCACTTTATCCATTCCATTAAATGAAGCTACCCAATTGGTGGTTACACTTATAGTTTTCCGCCGACGATTTACAAATGTATCAACTCCACACTTCAGTTTAGCATTATTACAAGAAAAACGCTTTTTAAAATGAAATAGTAAATAATTAAAAATATTAAATAGTTTATATTTATACCTCCTGGCGAGTTCTTTTCCTTATACCAAAATTGTCCAATGTTTCCATCAGTTTACGTTTTTTGTCATCTCTAAGAGAGTGATTACTATTGGTACTATTATTAATGCTGTTCCTGAGGATAATAAACAAAACATTAAATAAATCAGGTAATTTTTAAAATGTGAAATATTTAAAAGTGTTAAATTCTACCTACTAATAAATACATAATCATAGCCTGATTAGCAGTTAACATTTAATATATAAAATAATACCATTACCTGTATTGATTATAACTGTTTTTATATTTATTTAAATAAATTAAAAAAAACGAATACTTATAATACGTATACTTTGTTCCGAAAGAGAACATAGCGTTTTTACACATCACCACTGATGGCTGGAGGCCACTGCTAGGTAAGGTAAGTTTTTCCCTCTCTTGCCAAAATGTGGCGCTGAAAGAACACTATGGTCTCCATCTGAACCTCGAACCTAACTGAAGTACGTTGTGAGCAGTGTGAAGCGCTTGGTGGGAAATGCAAGCCACTGAACATAAACCAGTTGCTGTACGGTATTTTTTCTTTTGGAACAGGGTATATATATAATATATAAGTATATATTTAGGTGTCCGTTATTTTGGCTTTGGTAAAAAAGTTATGCTCCTAGTGGCTTTTTTGCTTCTGTCCGATGAAAAAAAATGTACACGAAATTTCAATACTGTAGATCAATATTTACCTGGTATATTGAGTAGTCAATGTTATGCATTTGAATAACATTGGGTTTTCGTGACTTTTTGTTTGCAAATTTGCACAAGCGTGAAAAAAAAATCATAAAAATCTAAAACCCAAAAGAAAATGTTGAGGAACTCATGGACATTTAATATGATTTTTATTGAACATCATATAATATATAATTTTTTAAAATAAGCTGCAATATTTGAAGTGGGCTCATTGGAATGATGAAGAAAACAAATTAAAAAGTATATGAGAAAAATATTTGATTTGATTTATTTGTTTGAAGTCTGAACAATACTGAAGTCTATATAATGTTGTTTTTGTTAACATGAAGTCTTGTTTTGCTCATTATCTTAGACACATAATAACAATCCTGAGATTTAGTCACTAACATACCTACTCTACTATATAAAATAATTTAAAAAAACTATCTTAATATAATGTTGTATATATATATATATATATATTATTATTCTTATTATGCAAATTATTTGAAATTGAATACATACTTTGAAATGCATGAATCCGATAAAAGTGAAACATCAGTTGACGGTGTCATTGACCCTATTTCACGAGCTTTTTGAGCAATACGAAAACTAAAGCCAGGATTTGTCACATTGGCTTTACAATTGGTTCTATAAAATACACAACACAAAAATAATAACTACAATGAAAAAAAAATTTTAAATATCAATAACTAAAATGTTAGATTACTTGAAAGATGTATTGTTTCCATTTAGCTTATGGGAAACAGGCTGCTTGTGGTTGAAAATGTTAAGAGCCCTCGCTTCTGAACCGTTGAGATTTAATGTTTTTCCACTAAGAGGATCCAATGTCATTTTTTTGTCAGCACTAGGTTTTGAATTATTAAAAATGTTCAAAAACGAAAACATAGTAGTAAATGACTGTAAATTATAATCAAGTATCGAACATGTGGAATACAGAGTAATGAGTATTGAGTATTACAGATAACTAGCGAGTAGTGACTATAAAAAGTATAGTGTCTACTGAGTACTGACTACACATAACATAATACAGTACACTTTTGTCCATCGTCGTTTGGTTCTACGCTTATCAGATTCCGTTATCTAATTAAATATATTGAAAAACCGTTGAAAACGACCATTCATCGTTATACACTATACCACGGTTGTAAAATATTGTGATAATCAAAGTAATAGTTATTGTGATAATTATTAATTATTAATTCGTAATAAATTACATTTTAGATTTTACGCATAACAAAATAAATAATAATAAATATTTGTTTTCCGAATAGGTATGACACGATTATAGGTGAAATCTATATATAATCGTGGTATACAGGACATACAGGACGGCGGGTCATTTCACCAAAATTTCATATTTTTTTAAATCTTCCAAAATTTAGTATCTTAAATAGGAATAAAATGGATAAATAAAAAAAAACTTTTTTAATAACATGTTTTTATTAAAAATTGATAAAAAATGAACTAAAAAGTAAAAAACAATTTTACTGCAAGAACAATAAATTTACCAATCAATTGTAGAACATTTTTTTTAAAATGTCAATTACTTTGAAAACAACTGAAAATTAACTACAATTTAAGAAAAGTTTAAATATCTATAATATTTTACTAAAAATAATAGCGTGGGCCCTATTTAACAAAGTCCCTAATGAGTTTAACAGATAATGATTTAATTTGTAATCTAAATTTGGTTCAATTTTAGTGTGTGACACATATATTTCATAATACTTAACTCAATGAATTTGGAATTTGTTGTATATATATATATAAATATCGACATATAATTTATTTTAGCAATATTCGTCTATTATTATGTGTTTAAATGGATGAATAAGTCTTTGGTCCAAAAAATTGCTATTTTCTGGGCCCAATGCACTAATTTCCATCAACAAATCTTCATTATCAGAAAATCTTTTATTTGATTCAATATTAATTTTATCTATAATTGCTAATTGTACTAATTTCTCTTCATTTAGCATATAAGGGTGGATCCGTGGATTTAGAGTGTTTTGTATTAAATTTCTATGCGAACAGTTTGGACTCATTCTATAATTTTGTATTATAACGTTAATCATTTCTTATTTCTCGAAAATGTTCTCTAAGATAATTAATTAATACAAATGTTTCATCCATACATGTATTTTTATCTTGTAGCTATTTATAAATTTATTATTTTAGTGCCACACACGATACACGATTTATTTACTAATAGTGGGTAATCAGAGTGTACGTAAGATACCATTTTTTTTTTATGTATAGAAGATAATATAATGACGACTTATAATTTTTTTACCATGTGCATTTTTCTTTTTTCATACTAACTAAAAAGTATTAACTTTTTAGTTAATTTTAAATTAAATTCATAAAAATTATAGTTCTAAATCTTAACTAAATTTATTTACATTTTAGGATGGGCAGTAGGCAGCTGCGGTTCGTGGATACTAATTACAACAGTAAACAAAAACATTTGTTTTTAATATAAGGACATGGGTTTTAGTTTTTTCATGCAGAATATAAAAAAAGTATTAAGAGCGACAGCGGCCTCGACAGAAAACACCATTTGATGAGATGCCATTATAATAATAATGACACGCCATTATTTTTTTTACCAAAAATATGATTACATTTCTAAGACATCTGTTACAACAAATTATAACAGCGATTAAGAAGGTATAATTTTTTTTATCGACTTTATTTTTTTTTTTTGTCAGCTTATAGTTTTGTATACAAAACAGAGATGTGATGGTACATGAATACTTTTCTCAGTTTTCACTAATTATTTTCAAACATACTTTTTTAAAATTGATACACTACCAAATTTTTAAAAACTACTATAGAGAAGTTTTTGACAGTTGTAATTATACAAAAATACACTAGATATTCATATTAAGTAGGATTATGAAATCATAAATTACTCAATATTTTTTAAAACATGTATTATATTAAAAAGGTTTTTTTTGTATTATTCAGTATGTTTAAATTATTATTTAAAAATAAAACTATTGTATTAATTTAAATAAATGAATATTCATTGCGAAATTGGAAACTATTTTAAAATGAAAAAAATACATTTTTTAAAGTTTAAACTGGAATAATTAAGTATTAAAGAGAAATATAAATTAATTTTACAATTAATAAATATAGCAATACCAAAAATAGCAATGCAAAACAAATCAATAAATATTACAATTATAAACCCATTTTTCTGCCTTCAATTGAAATTGGTACAGCATGTTTGGCTTGGCCAGTTCTTTTACTATCCATGAAGTTTTTTAAGTGTTTTTCAAAACGATTCATTGGGCGTTTCACAGTCTGTAATGTAAAAAATTGTATACATTTATAATAATATAATTAATCATTAAATGTTTTATTACTTTTGAAATGTCAGTATCTGTATTTGATTTAGGTCTGACAATATAATCTTTATTTGATGGCGCAGGCACCCTAGCTCTTGCTATCCAACCTTTATCTCCAGGTTTTAATTTTTTATGACTAAAAATAAAGATTCAAAATAATATTAACATCTTTTTGATTTATAATTATTACTAGTTTACCCAACACCTACCTTTCTTCATCTTCATCGTCATCATCATCATCATGTTTGTTATCATCATCCATATTTGAATGTTTCCTACGTGGCATTTGTTCCAAATCTCTTTGTTCTCTCTCTTCTTTGGACATAGCTTTAAATAAAAATAATTATTTATGATAATTTTACTAGCTACTTTAGTTATTTACACTTAAAACTCTTTCATCTTTTTGTTGTTGCTTTTATTAAAAACTTTATTTTTAAATCCATTTAACATTCATAAGTGATTTACGATTTCTATATTTTGCATTCAATAATCTGTCCACACGGTTGTTTGAAATTTAAATAAATCTTCCTCTCCTTCGCCTCTACTCCAACTATTTGGAGACAAACACTTTTTCCCTAACCTCCAGTTGATACACATCTGTAACCACATCATCTTTGCAATATATTAGCAGTCATCATATCATTTTCAAACACAGCCAACCGACTCTTTTTCATTGTTCTTCTTCCTCTCTTTTATCCTTTGTTTTTTTTCATTACCTTTTTTAATGTATCCGATTCTTCTCTCCTCATTACATACCTAATCTATTAGTCTATTTTCTCTCATTTTGTCTGTTATTTAAACCAAGCACATCCTATCTCTCACGTCTTTGTTCCTTATTCTACATTCTCTTGCCACTCCATTTATCCACCCAAACATTTTCATCTCTGCTGTTTATTCTTTGTTCTATTTTCCTATAGTCGGCTTACCACACTCCAGTAGAACTGACCTTAGTGTCTCAATGGAACTTTCTTGTTTCGCAAAACATCTGACAGTTCTTTCCACTCAATACAACCATGCAGTTTCACATCCTCATCAACCCCGTATTCTTTTATAAAAAAGAATTAGTCAATTAGTACATCACCATTTATTCTCATAACTCGTCTTGTTCTCTTCTTCTAAACTCATTCTCTATATAATTCTGTTTTACTTCTACCAATCATTAGCCCCTTCAGTTGCTATTCTCTACTCTTAAAATCTATTGTTAACTTCTTTCAGATTTTTTCCTACCAAAACTATATCTGCAAACATTATGCAGCATGGTACTTTACCCTCTATCTCCTTCTTAACTTCATCTACTACAACAAAAAAACAGGTAAGGACTCAAGCTTAACCTTAGTACACACCTACTCTAACTAAATAGTTTATTAATTCACTTACTTTTGAAATATAATTTTAAATTTTGTTAATATTACATATTTATTTTTAATACTAAGATTTATATATACAATTTAAATCTTATTTCATCAATGATTAATCACACAGGAAGTATTAAGATTTAGTTTTACAATTCTTTAAAGATCACTATGACTTATTTATCTAATATAATTTGTTACAGTAGTAAAAAAAAGTTTTTATAAAAAAAAGCAGAAATTTACCTTTAAAATCGGTTGATAAGTTAAAAATTGGTCGGGCCCATTCATTAATAAGCCGCCCAGCGCGCTCTCGGTTTTCTTTAGTTTCTTTGGGATGTCTGTATAAGTACATGACAGCCTTACCAATTCCAGAATATTTAAGAGTAGACTGTTCAATTGGAGGATACTAAAAGAAAATGTGAGTTATTTTTAAAACTTTCTTTATAAATATTAATTGTTTGTCATACATCAGCCAATAATTTTAAAAGGGACTCTCGCACTTGAAGGGAAGGTAAGCTTCTATCTGGCATTGGTGCTAACCAATCAGTGAATACGTTTAGAACATTATGCTCAACAAATGCTAACATTAAATTATGTTTTTTTAACTGAGACAAACATTTAGGCAACATTGTTATTTTATTAATTGCAGGTTTTCCTTCTTTATTAAGTTGTCGATCAATCTGCAAATTATTCAAATATTAAAATTTAAAGCAAAAAAATTAAATGGATTTCATAAATATTACGTCAGCTGCATTTTTCATGTCATTTATTAAACCAGCAATTATATCATCATTATCATTGATTATATCTATATCCTTCCTACGGCGCTTCCAAGATTGTTCTTCTTTTTTTTTCATCATCATAAGATCAAAATCTGATACTGACTGTTCGCTATTTAACATACATTTATTGAAAATTATTTGACCATTAAACTATAAATTTAATATTATATACTTATTTCGGTTTTCATGATCATCATCAGGATCGTCTGGATCGTCATTATCATTATCAGCACTACTAGTAGTTGGTTTGGTAGTTGGCTCATCATCAGAATCATCTGATAATTCAGGTAATACTTCATTATTTTCATCACATTTTACAGTCTTTTCTTTGACATCATCATCATCATCATCATCAGATACAGCATGTACTTCGCGCTTCTATGAAAAGAAAAAACAGTACACATTTTTTCTTTATCTTATATTACACAAATAATTTATTTACTTAAATTGTATTAATCTAAACACCATTATGCATTGTAATTTTATTAATAGACTTGTATTTTTGTCGACATGTTATTTAGTAAAATTTACTCTAAACCCTTTACTTTTTAGAATTTAATTTTAATTATTACGTCTTTTCTAGAAGTATAATAATGAAAGCAAAATTTAAATTACATAATATATATATTAACATGTTTTGCTTATCTCAAACTATTCTTCTTTGTTAACACATTTCTAATTAAATAAAACAAGTAAGATTTTTTATTTAGCTAAAAGAAAATTAGTTAAGATTTATTAGAAAACCCCATAAAAAAGTAAAAATATAAATGTTTATAACGAAATATAAAAATCGGCCTTTTAGCCCCCATAGAGAAAATGTAAATTTTTTTTGAAATCGGTTTATTAGACACTTCAGAAAGTGACTTTTTTTTTAGTTTTTGTTGTATAAAATTTAACACTTTCCATTCCCTTTAAATTGTCGAATTGGGACTGACCCATCAATTAGTTACATTCTCTATCTCTCAAACACACATCAATATCAAAATAGTGTATAATAATACATTTTTGTTAATGTTTACTTACAGATGAGTTTGATTTAGCAACATTAATTTCATCTTCTGATTCAGAGTCCGACATGATTTTTACCTTTTTGAATTTATTTTTTTTAATTTCATTTTCATCTGCTTCTATAAAATATACAAATTTAATACAGAAAAAAATACATATTAAGAAAAAGGGTGGGCCTAATTTCATTTTCATTTTTTTAACTGGCAATTCCTCAATTATTTATTATCTTTCGAATTCCAACTAGAATTAATCAGATGCCACATAAATATTTTCCATTCAAATCATAAAATTAACAAAATAAAATGTTTTTCACTGGACCTTTACATTTGTCCATAACCTAACTTATCATAGTGCACTATAACAGCTACAATTTAACGGAAATTGATAGGAATTTTTGCAGTAAAACTTTAACTCATTCAATATTTTAATTTTCATGATTTAACAGAATCCATACAAACTATACAGATGCCACAACCCTCACCAAACCACAAAAAAAAACAATAATTTTAATGTATTTATATACTATTAACAAAAATATTTAAAAAAGTAAAAATAAAACATAATAGGTAGGTCAAATTAAAAAAAACACCAGACAAGGATCAACGGTTAAGGGACTGCCTTAACCTAACTTATACTTCAGACTATTGTCATACATTAACACTGTAAAATATTAAATAATATATGTATTTATGCTGAACTGCAGAAAAATGTACAAACCCCATAAACATTTACTAGAGCACTGTGCGTGGTACAATCAGTTTATGGAACCAAAAAATGTTGTGTAATCCAGCATTAAGCTATCGAGATTCTACCTAAGTATTTAAAAAAAAAAATCATAATTGCTTTAAATTACCTTCATTCGATTTATTATCAGGAGACGCATCAGCCTTATTGATTTGTGTATCATCATCAGAATCTGAATCAATTTTTATACGCTTATTAGTAGATTTTTTAATGGAAGAGTGAGAACCAACTGATGATACTGAAGAACTTCTAGATTTAGATTTAGACCGAGAATGTGATCGGGATCTTGAACGAGATTGTGACCTAGATTGAGATCTTGATTTTGACTTTGATTTATCTCTAGGGTAGTTTTTATGATCGGATTCTGCTGATGATGCGGAACGAGACCTTGATCTTGATGAAGCGCTAGAAGAATGTGCTGATGCTCTAGATCTAGATCGAGATGTACGTTGAGGAGATTGAGAATCTTCCAAAGGATTATTATTATCAAACTCTACAGGTAATACATCTCCGAACGTATTATCCATCTCTATAGAAGATATTGAGAATACATTAATTAGATTAACGTGCATTAAAAATATGTATTATTCATTACTATATATATATTTATTTTACCTGTATTATTAATTTTTAATACATCAGAAGTGCTAGATACAATTTCTGTTGGATCTGATTGTAATGAACCGATAATATTACTATCTTCATTCATATCAACATTAATATTTCTAAAATAAAATAAATATTTAAGTGTTAAATATTTAATTTTTAAACTATTTATTTAATATAAAATATTTTATTTTTAATTGTTTTGTGGCTTATCGATTCTTTATCACTTTTAAAGTCTAAACTTTAGATATGCTAGGTATTTCAAACTTAATTTGACAATTTTTTCTTTGTAACAAAATTTGTTTTAAATTTATTTCAAATTTAGCATTGCCAAGTTTTTAATAAATGAAAATAAATGGCAATAAATTAAAAACCACCTTAATACTTAAATGTATAATCACTAATAATAGAAACATGTATAATTAAAAAACTTGACATCATACTAGATAATATTATTAAAGAGTTTTTATTCAGTGTAAGTTCAAAGAAACAAACAAAAACATTAAAATTATGGTGGGATAATAATTTAGTGATACAATACACCATTATTCCCCGATAATATATCTTATCAAACCGCCGTAACTAAATATACATCTGTTTTCGTTGGGAATAAAATTATCAACACTTATAAACTAAATTGTTTTTATCATATTTTTTGGATAGACATAATATGATCATTTTCGTGGTTGATAGAGGAAATTTTCTACAGCTCGATTATGGCCGTAACTCGAAATTGGAAAAAAGTGAGATACATCCATTTTTGTTGTGACAATCAATACTATACCAGTATTTCAAATATAAATTTTATTTTATTTTAGTAGATATATCATTTATTTAAAAAAAATAGGTATCATTTCATGATATCAATTTACCTTGGCAGGAATTCTTTTTTTAGGATTTTTTTTTTTTTAAATTCGTAATTATATTCATGCCGATTGTGAACTTTTTGCCGGACAAACTTAATTTGGGAGTTTTAGACATTTGAAGACATACGTGGGCGCCCAGCAGTGCAAGTCTACCTGTGTTTCCAACGGGTCTACTTTCCCTGGCCCATTATGGGCCCTTTTTTTTGCCGTTATCTTTGTCTGATAACAGTTATATAAAATCGAAAAATGAAATGTAGATGTGCACTGGCAGGCGCCCGCATATGTTGATATAGGCGATGTTCAAATGTCTTTAACTCCCAAACTAAGTTCGTCTGGCAATAAATTCTTGCAGATTCATAATCAGCATTAAAAGTGCTATAAAAATTGAAGGAAAATAAAGGGTGACCACTAAACTACATTTGTTCCATAATATTTATAGTAAAACTTATATTAAATTTTATTTTTTGAAACTAAACGTAGAATCCATAAAGAGCGTTATCAAAAAACTACTATAAATGACAAGTGAATAAAGACATCACTGCAATAAACACATTCATCTTATACCTGGTATACTAAAATACTTGTGCAATTGTTATTCCTAAGGTTTAAGTAACCATGATTATAGAACTAGAGTAGTCCTTGAACTTCTGATCACATTTGTAGTCATCATAAAACACAGTATTGAATATAATAAATATATTTTGAATATATATTTTACTCAACTGGTAAAATCAATTTATACCCACTTTACAACTAAAATAAGATGCTTTTAATTTCTCTACAAATTTTAAATCTTAAAATACTTACAAGTTAAGAGTTAACTGTTGAATGTGGATAATTGTATCGTCTATTGATATTCTGAAAATATAAAAAGATACATAAACAAGGTACTCTAATAATATGTATAAATAATAATTGAGAATTTGTACATTCAGCTTTGATGGCATGATGTTTTATAACGACAATGGCATCACAATAAAACACACATGCTGTTTGCTACTATTTAAGCCTCAACGTAAATTTTCTTACATATCACTTTATGCCACATTGAACATGTCATCATCAATGTAAACTTTCACATAGATATAAGTATAAGAAGTATGAGAAAAAATTCTATAAAATATATACATACGGAATAGAACGTAGACTGTAGAAAAACTGATACTATTCCAATAGAAAAGGTATATTGACTTATGGAGAATAACCTTAGGATCTTCAGCTTCACTGAGAAGTGGACTAATAACAAAATAACACAGCAGCTAAACTCTAAAGATAAACGAAATAAATAAACAGCTATAAAACATCAACTTCGTGATACGCATACACAGATTACACACCAAAGAAATTATGGTCTAATGTCTATAACTAAAGACTATAAGAGACACCGTGCATGAGGACACTCAGCGCTGCAGTGGACAACGGCGCAAGCCATTATTCCCATGAAAAAGCATAGAAAAATGTAAAATTCATATTTTTGTAATTTTAAAAACTAATTACTGTTAAATTGTTTGTGTTTATCGACATGTTATATGGACAAAATTTTGATAAACCATTAATTTTACAACTGTAGCACTTTTTAGAAAAATTTCCATGCTGCTCGAATAATTTTTCTCCCGACAGTAGTGCTTACATTCACCACTAGAGTGCGTGACTTTTCAGCAGCTTCGCGGTGTCTGAAGACTAAAACATGATTAAAATATACAAGTTTATTGCACATATATACCTACGCCTTCTCCATCAAATATTCGATGATAAAAACAAATATAAACGGGCAGCCAATCAAAATCAAGGATAGAATGATTGGTGATTACACAATCAAAGACATGTGCTCCGCATGGACAAGTGTCAACAAATGGCATAAGTCATGTTGAATCTGCTATGATATTTCGTACAATAATCAATAAAATATTATTATAAGCAAAAACCACTAATTATTATACAAATAAAATAATGGACAGTCCGCTTATTTATAATTTAAGTAGTGGAAAAGCATTACCAGAAGTAAGTTTACTCGTTTTAATAAAATACTAACACTTAATTAGGAAATTAATACCAACTAGTGTTAATAAAAATAGTAAGCAAAATGTGTTTTTATTCTTCAATTCATTACTATGTTGATGCGTTTAAATATTTCTGTACTGTTAATGTAAAGAGGCTAATCTCAATTGCATAAAATGAGTTAAGACCACTTGTATACATTATTGATTACTCTATGTCTTGGTAGTTCCTAAATGATTATGTCTTATGCCAATTTAAAAATCTAAAATGTTAAAACTTTTTATTTATCAAAATGTAATTACATGTATTCATTTAGAAAATAAAGATCAGTTTATTTGACAATAATTACTAAATACGCAATTTGCATTTTAATGTATAGATTTGCACTAAATAAAATGAGATGTATTCTTTCACCGCACAATATTCTATACATTAATAAGGTTCAAAATGCAATGGAGACAAAAAGAAGCTATGAATGAAAAAATTATTTTATATTAAAACAGGGTGTTAACCATTTTTTTGAATAAATAATGTTGATGTTATATTCATAAATCTTCACTGAAAGACAAATGATTGAGGCTTCTTCAAAAAAAAATCTAGTTTTAAAGACTAAACCATAGAGAAGAATTATAACTAATTTTTTATTATCTTTTTTAAATTTATTAAAATGATACATATAATCTTCTCTCTTATTCGTGTACATATTGTGAATTCTGTAGATAGGTTGTAGTCCACTAGTCCTTCTTTATCCTATGCCTATAATCCTATTCCGTGTGTACCAACTTACTAAATACTAACTTGTATGTCTATCCAGTTTTATTTTTCATAATTTATATTATAAATTTTTTTGTTATAGTGGCTTACAGAAAGAAAAAGAAGAACACTGTTAAAAAAAAACCCAGGTAAATAACACTTATATTTTTTTGTAATTACACAATTTACTTAAAACGAAGTGCAGTAGTTGCTCAAAATATGTGCATGTATAAAAACGACTATAAAGAACATTGCATATAACTTTAAAATATAATATAAGGGTAAAAGATTGTTTAACAATTTCAAAGTTATTTCTTCACTAACAAATTTGTATCCAAGTGCTTTTTCAAGTGTTTTTATCACTTTTTAAGTAATAACCATTCTTACATTACAGCCCCTTTTTTTAATTTTATTAAAAACTTGTTTTTATAATTAGTCATTTAAACATCAAATACTTTTTTTAATTAGATATTTTGGTTTAAAGCAAATTTAATTTAAAGTGATTTAATGAAAGTAATATTTTTATATTTGCAAACAGGTTAAAGAGGTATTTTTTAAGCCCAAAATTTACATTATTTTTTTACATTGTGCATAATTAAACATTTTAGAAATGAAGAGACACATTGCTCTTATTCAGGACTTCGATATGCCAGGCCTAAGCAACACTATAAGAGTGACTCAAGATGGCCAATATATCTTGGCAACTGGTATTTATAAGCCCAGAATAAAATGTTTTGATGTCAACAATTTAGCAATGAAATTTGAAAGATGTTTTGATTCTGAAGCTGTAACTTTTGAGATATTATCTAATGATTATAGTAAGGTAATATTGATCAAATTTATTTAATTTGTTTTATATTTACAAGTGTTATGGTTTTTAGTTTGTTATTTTACAATGTGATCGTTATGTGGAATTTCATTCTCAAGAAGGGCGTTATTATAGGTTACGCATACCAAAGTTTGGACGTGATATGAAGTATCATTACCCTACATGTGATTTATATATTGGTGGAAGCAGGTAATTTAACTTTTTTTTTAGCACTATGATTCAGAAGTCAGTCTCGTTTAATGGGACCACCACAAAACTTTAGACTTTGTGTTTAGAGTAGTGTACTACTACTACTATTTGTTAGGTTTTTTTTTTCGTGCATGTGCATCATTAAATGACCGGGGAGGGGAACTATTTGTTAGGTTAGGAGAGGGTATATGTAGTGCAATATCAGACGACAAACACTTGTAGTCTTGGAATTTTGCATCACTAAAAAATGTAGAACTGTGCCAGTGGACAAGCAGATGATCAACTGTATGACCACTGCATTACACAGCTCCCATATAAATTTGAATTACTTTTTTTTTTATATTGATTTAAGAGGTCGTCAAATCTAATTTAAAAACAATCAATTTTTAGTAATTATTTTATTTTATACATGTTTTTTACTGCTTCAGTTCCAAAAATTAATTTATAAATTTGATGTATTAGACTTTAAAGACGAGACATTAATGTTCTTTTTATCCGTGCTCGCAATCTTCCACATTTTCCTCTTCAATTTAAACTTTAAATGCAAAATATTCAGTACTATTTGACTGTTAATTACACTACAAATTCCCTTTAAATTATTTTTTTAAACAAAATTTTTGATCATTTAACATAATAATGTTTTTCATTTCAAACTTGTTTAGGTAAAATAAATATTTAGTAAACTACCGTAAAGTAAAATAAGTAAGTGTTGTCCCCTCAAAAAAGCAATTATGGTGATAACAATAAGGAGTAGTTGAATAGTTGAGTAATTCTTAACTTTTACAAAATACATTATCAAATAAATGATTTAAAAATATTAAATTAACTCCTACGAAACAATTAACGTCTGATAGTAATTATACCGTTTATAAAACTTTTATGTTATTAGGTTTTCACGTACAAATCATGGCTGGCATATTAAAGCCCAGCCCAAAAAGTTTTTGAATGGTAAAACCCTATTCAACCCCCCAGGTAGTATTTCATATAATCTGGTTTACTGGTCTTTGTGGTTTTATAAAATATAAAATTCTCTAAATACCCGAGTGGGTTGGGTTATTTAAAAAAGCCTGTGTTTTACGAGTACACAACAAATCAGGAATATATAAAAACATGTCGTTTTAATTTTTAATGCATTGTTTATTTTGAATTGCTTATAATTGAAAACAATTAGTTTGGCATATGGGGCCAGTGTTACCTCCTAAGGAGGAGGTTTCCTGTTGCATTCATTCTCCTGGATAGGTTGTCATTGGAGAGAGAGTATAGCAGTTCTTTTTCTCTATACAGTTTGCCGCCAGACAAACAAAATTCCCTGACCAAATGTCAAAGTGGTGATGGTAAGCGCTAACACACCGTCACACTGACCGAGACATTTACAGGAGCTTTTAACAAAATCGTGCTCTTTTTTAGTATCACTTAGGTAATGTCATATTAAATACTTTAAACTGTAAAAGATGTTTTTGGGGAAAAAAAATCAACTTGAGAGTAATTACAATTTTGTAATGTAATTATTAGTGTAATTAAATTACCAAAAGAAAAGTAATTATTTCCTCAACACTGCTTAGAGGTAGACCAAAGAAAAAGTTGGTAGATGTTATAATGACAAGGTGTGTTTAGGGTAAATTGAATAATGTTTTTAAATTAGGTAAATGTGAACAGAAATTATTTGGTTGTTAGATTCTGCTTTATACAGCTGTATTATTTCAATTAAATAATTGAATTAACAATGAAACCAAAAATAAAAATATTAATTTTTATAAACTTGGGTTATTTAGAGCTTTGTTATACAATAATTTTAAAATGTCAAATGATGGCTGTATTTATTTTTTAAATATGTTTTATGTTTCAGTTCTGAAATTTATAGATTGAATTTGGATCGAGGACAATTTTTAAACCCGTTTATATCAAATGCTGGTGATGAAATCAATAAATTAGCAATAAATCCTGTTCACAATATGCTTATGAGTGGTACTAAGGAAGGGAAAATTGAGGCTTGGGATCCTAGATCCCATATTAGCGTTGGCGTTTTGGATTGTGCACTGAACTCTGTTACAAATGATACAAATTTTGTGTTAGTTTATAACTTTTAGTTAGTTTTCATAATAATATTTTATTATTGTTTTTATTGTGATTAGTTCAGATGGATTTCCATCAGTAACTGCTCTAGAATTTGAAAATGCTCTGACATTAGCAGTAGGAACAGCTACAGGACAAATTCTTTTATATGACATTCGTTCTAATAAGCCATATATGGTCAAAGATCACTTATTTGGATTACCCATAAGAGATATTGCATTCCAAGAAGATAATATATTGTCTATGGATTCATCTTCGGTAAAAATATGGAATAAAAATACTGTGAGTATATAATGCAATTAAATTATTGTATATTTTTAGTTAACTAAACTAAAATTTATAAATAAATAGGGTAAATTATTTACTGCTATTGAATCTGGAAATGATACTCAATTCAACAATCTTTGTGTAGTCCCTAACACGGGAATGTTATTTATAGCTAATGAAAATGCAAAAATTCAAACTCATTATGTACCTGTAAGTAATAATTTATTGCTCTAAAAAAAAAAAGCTTCTGTTAAATTGAAAATTCTGTTCTTGAATAGAGTTTAGGGCCAGCTCCAAAATGGTGTGGATTCTTAGACGCATTAGTTGAAGAGTTAGAGGAAACTAAAAAAGAAACTGTATATGATGATTATAAATTTATCACACGAAATGAACTTGAAGAACTTGGCTTAGCACATTTAATAGGTAAAATTGATTTTCTGATTTCTACTAAATATTTTTCAATAAACTAATATATATTATCTCGTGTGTTCAGGAACAAATTTATTGAAAGCTTACATGCATGGATATTTTGTGGATATTAGATTATATAGAAAAGCTAAGTCTGTTGCTGAACCTTTCGCTTTTGAAGAATATCGTAGAAAGAAGATACGAGAGAAAATTGAGTCCGAGAGAACTAATCGAGTACAAGTTCAGGTAAAATCATTTAACTTACAAAAAAATTTCAGTTAAATGAACAATGTATATATCACATTAGAAATTACCTGCTGTAAACAAAGACCTCGCTCTTAAGCTAATACATGATGAAAAAGAAGGAAAGAAAAATAAAAATACTTCAAGTTTATTGAAAGATGATAGATTTAAGGCTTTGTTCGAAAATCCAGCATTCCAAGTTGACACAAATGCTGAAGAATACAAGTAAGATTTTAATAATTGTCAACATATAGTTTTGTTAAATACATACTGGGGTGGTTAAAATTTTCACTTTTTTGATATTTTGAAACGGGCATCCTCTCTTTTTTTTTATTATCTTTAATAATTCAAAAATTCCAAATTTCACCTCAATTAAAAAAAAAAAATTGAATGGTAAGAACACGTGATGCAAAACCTTTGAAATACCAGTCAATGTGATTTTATACATCAATGAATAAATTGAATAAATTTTTATTTAATGCTTTAATTATTATATTTACAAAATAATTGTTCCATAAAAATGTTAATTTTAATCGTTGATTTTAACAATTTTATTACTTGGCCATTTGGTATTATGATTGGTATGTTGAAAGCTTTGCAATATGTGTTCTTATCAGTTCTTCTTATTGTTTTTTTCAGTTAAAACTTGGCATACTTGCGTTTTAATGTTATAAAAGTTTAAAAATGTCAAAAAAGTGAATATTGAAGTGTATATTTTTCATTATACTTAACTCAGTTTATTATTGTTACTCATCAGTTATCTATAATTTATTTATATGTAACATAACAAATTGAATGATATTACAGGTTATTAAATCCTGTTTTGAAACGATTAGATAAGTCTAAACAAAAAGAATTAGAAGAACAAATCCAGAAACAATTTGATCCTGTAGATGTGAGAATCATTTTAATAATCATGTTTAAACATTTATTGTAATAAAATTAATTAATCAAATACTGTCCATAGGATGAAATTGAAGGAAAACCTAGTTCAGAGGAGAGTAGTGATGAATACAGTTCAGATGATGACCAAAAGTGGACAAAAGAATTGAAAGCCGAGTACAGATCTGCTAAAAGAAGAAGAATTGCAGCTGAAAAAGCAGACCGTAAAAAATCTTTAAATGAAAAAAATAGCAGCAGTGATAATAATGATAATGATGATGAAAGTGATGATAATAATATTACTACATCAAGTGAACCATTTTCTAAGGCCCCTAAATTCTATGAAATTAAAGAAGGTGAAGAGTTCAATGGACCCAATGTTAATAAATTAGATTTTTGTCAAAATACAAGGTGTGTAATCAAAATAACCTATTTAAACAGTGAATGTATTTACTTAAAATGATTACGTTTAAAACTTTATTATTGTATATGTTTAGTGCAACACTCGGTGAAAGAATCCATTTAGAAAATTTTAATTCTGTAAAAGTATTGTCCAGTGGAAATCGGCAACTGACATTTTCAACTCAAAAGGTTTGACATTTTTTTAAAAACCTGAGATTTATACTGTTTAGCATTATATTTATTTAAATTCATTATTTTTTTTAACCAATTTGGAAAAGAGCTGTTTGTTTTATTTATAGAACAGATTTTTTTTTTGTGGTTTTTAAAAGTATCTGTGGTCCAGTTTGGGTAACTTAACAAACATCCTAATAAAAAATATATGTGGGTGATTCTCTGAAACCAAGGAGTTTTCAGTCCCCTAACTTTTACTAGACTTATGTTATGATTTTTAGGAAACTTGTTTACACTCTATGTAAAATAGTTCCTGATCAACGTTTTTTTTAACAAAATTAAGATATCCCCTTCCAATAAAAAAAAATTAAAATTGGTCAAATATTTAGTCCCTCACCGTGTCCCACACCTCTATTTCGCGTTTTTAATATGTCGTAGATGTTTGTGCTTAATTCTCGAAAACACAAAACCTAAAATTATTCAGTTAAGTATGTACTCTAGTTTTCAGAGTGTATTATGTTTTTTCGAATACTTAAATATTTCCCCCCTAGGGTATGTTTACCCTATAAACTATGTGTCCCATAGTTTTTTAAAAAAAGTGAAAAAGAGGTCCAGAATATTATAAATATATATTTAAGAAACCAAAAGACTAATACTACTTTTTAATGTCTTAAGTGCAATGCCGTTGTAGCTTTCAATGTGATAACATACCATTTGTCAATAATAGTATTATGTTATTATTTAAACAAATTCGTTCGTTTGTCTGACTATTTTCTTCAGTCACTAACACAGTCCTTCATCATAATGGTAATTTTTTTAATTAAAATGTTTTGCTTAACTAAGACTTTCTATTAAGGGTCTTTTATGTAAACCCTATGCTTATTCAGAAACAAAAAAAAAAAATTGGCTTTTCTTCAAGTGGAACAATGAATGTCAAAATTCTTTTCAGAGAATTACCCATGTATGTAATATATTTTTATAAAAAACTTGGTTTTTATTTTTGCTTTTGTAGTATAAAAGGATATTTATAATTTGATAAGTTTAGATAAGACATTTTATGTATTTTGAATCAATAATATTAATCAAAACTTATTATAACAGGAAAAGAAGTACAAAAAAGCAGATTTGGAAGCGGAAAAGCACAAACAAGACAGATTAAGTGTAATTAGGAAAGGCCCTAAAAACCTTAGAAAACCAAAGTTCTATGCTGGACCAAAAAACAAAACGTTTCATAAAAAAAGATAACACATTTTAATAATATAATAATTATATTGTAATATAAATGATATCAATTATTTATTTAATTTCTGACAATTAAAAGTAATGGAAATTTCTTATATATAAAGCTGTGATGTTTTATTTTGATGTTTTTGGTAAATTATTCGTGCTTAAGTTATACATTTTCGATAGTTTATACATCAATATATCAATCATCCAAAAACAAATAAATACTCCACTGATGTTGCATAAAAATTGAGTTATTAAATGTCCCAACAATCTAAAATCAAATATATTTTGATTAGGTTAAATAGATCCAACATAAATACTTATTTTAAAGCATTAATACAAACCTTTGCCTTTCAGTAAATTTGACCATAATAGGTGATAACTCATAACTAAAGAATACACCAGGCATACCAGATGTACCTCTTTCCAATGATATTATCTGTAATTCATAAATGTATATTATTTTAATCATATTTTTATATCCAGCTGTTGCTACCCACTTTATTGTGTTTGGTCACAGAAAACTGATTTGTAGAAAATACAGTCTTATCCTTTCTTTGGTAAAGTGTAGGAACTATTTTTAGGTAATATTGAAACATAGTCCCACCTGTAAACATATTATGTCATATAGTTAATAATACTATAAATTTCCTTAATGTTTTTTGTTATTTTAAGTAATAAATTATGATCATTTTAGTAACATGCAATCTGCCATTACCAAAGCTGTGAATTTAATGCGCTGAAAAATAATTAAATAATAAATACAGGTACATGCAATTATGTACTAATACCGTATCAAAATGCAAAAAAAAATAATTAATATATTATTTTAAAAATTAAATTAAACATTTGGGCAAAAGTACACGGCGCTATAAAACGACTTTGACCTCATTTTATTTATTTTTATGTTACTTATACATAATTTCTAAAAATATAATCGAATTTTTCAATTTGTACACTTTTTTTGAAAACGAACAAAACTAATAAAAAGTGTAAACGAATTAAAAAAAAAAGAACCATAGAGAGCTGTAGTTCATTCGATCGAAAAGGTCGCTCTGACACACGACATTCCGGCTCAATCTTGGGCGCGGTCAATGTATTTTATTTTTAACTTATTCCTTTTTTTTATCTTATTGTTAATTAAATTTAATTAAAGTCTAAATGTTATAATTAAAATAAAATACTTTTTTGTGTACAAAATATAATTTACTACATTATTTAATAATGCATAAACACAATATTATAATATGATTACCGATTTAAATTTTATTTCTCAAATTTATATAAATAAGGTTATATTATGTATGTAAAACATTGATAGTGAAATTGTCACCATATAACATTTTTTAAATATATCAATATATAAATAGGTAACTATAACACAAAGATGTTTTGGTGGGCTAATCATATTTTCGGAATCGGTGGGTTATATTCCCCTCCCCCGATTTTTACCTATGTCAACCAGCCCCAGCCACATTATGGGTTAAAACGCCAAATACGAACGAACGTTTGGTGCGACCCCCCTCGAATTTGTTTTAAAAATTACACTGCACATATATTACGATGAAAAGAATGTTCACATATTTTTTTTAGAAATCTGTGAAAATTTTATAAAAGATGCGGAAATTTCAAATTGAGTTCTCCATAAAAATGCTCAAAAACACAAAAAAAAAAGAGGTAAAAGTTCATAGAAAAGAAATAAAACAACCATAGTCGGACACGGCAATTTGCGGCGGTTTGGTAACCTCCAATAACCAGTATATATGTTTATGGTGACCTCCATATAACCCGGTATCAGCTGATAAAAATATAGATAACATGAAGTCTATCGATAATCAGTCAAATTACCAAACACGAATATAATTTTACTTGTTTTTCAGTTACTATGATGATAGTATTGTTTTAAGTGTACATATAGAAACCTCACTTCGTATTCGAAAAACGATCTTAACTAAAGATTATATTGTGTATTTATTTAGAAACCTATAGAAAAACATCAAAATGGTGGTAGTCGGCGGAGGTTATGGACAGAGACAAAATATATCGTGTTTCGACAAGATATCAAATGCATTCATGATGGGAGCAACCATCGGAATCACTATGGGCATAGTGTTTGGTGGTGTTAGCGGCTTAAGGTATGTGTTTTTATAGATTAAAGCTGCTATAAAATTATAACTGTCAATAGTTTTTCAATGTTGCTTTCAAAAATTAATAATTTTGTTTTTATATACAACTTAGTGTAGTTAATTTCTTTTACATAAATAAATAGTACATCTAACCAACATATACTGCGTTCCAAAAAAGAACATACCAATTTTTCGTTGAGAGGCAAATTTCTCCCACTCGTGGCGAAATGTGGTGCCGATAGTACCCAACGGTCTGCGTCCGAGCCACATACCTAACCAAAGCACGTAGCAGAAGATGCGTGCCACCAAACATTAACTGGTTGCTGCCTGGTTTGTTCTCTTTTGGAACGCAGTATAGATTAAACACTAAATAGAAATTGATTTCAAGTTAAAAATTATACAAAATGTATTCAACATATTGATGTTACTATTTATATTTACATAGATTATAGTCATATAGCTGCTTCAAGTCCAATATTAATAAATCATATACCTAAATAAGAAAATTAACCTACATGATTATGGCATCACCTTTATTTGTCAAATTACTAATAAACAATTGTTTGTTGATCACAATTTTTATCTTCTAGGTATGGACTTAGAGGAAGAGAATTAATTGGAAAAACGGCTATAACCATGTTGCAAAGTGGTGGAACATTTGGCACTTTTATGAGTGTTGGAGCCGCACTTAGATGCTAATCAAAGTTAAATATGACTGAAGAATTAAAAATTCTCCCCGAAATACTTCAAGAATGTAAAATATTATTTAGTCTTAAATAATTATAATAAAATAAATACTTCTTAAATCTTTTTATATTTCTATTCTTAATTTGTTTCGTAGTATGGTAATATTATATTTTAAACGTCTCATTACTTGTATTATACTGGTGTTTTATAAAATTATACACATATAAGGAAATTCAATATTATTGTCATTCAACACTTGGGTACTTAACTGTTAAAACGTATTTATAGCTTTTCTTATACTATTGTGAAGATTATAGCTTCATCAATTGGCATTGATTAATTAATTATTGAAGAGAAATTATAATAAAGTTTTTTTTTTTTTATGACTCAGGACATATTAAGGTAGTTCAACAAATAAAAAAAAGCGCCTATTTTTTTTATAACGTTTTTTTAAATTGTGATAATATGATTGCATAGTGAGGTAAATATTATACAACAATAGTAATAATATAACATAGGTTATAGGAAAAGTCATTCTTAAAAATAGTTTTAAATTAAGTGCATGTTACGTGTACGAGTGGATAAAGTGAAACTTTTTTCAGAGTCATTCAACCGATCTGAATACCGTGATGCCGATAATCTTTTTTTTTCGTACCCTCTGTAAAGAAATTTCACTTCAAAAATCGATTATTTTAGAAAGTCTAGGTGTCAAGATTGACAGGGTTTGGTGTTAATTAGGTGATTTTGTTGATGCAAGTAAGAAACATACAATCATTGATTATAAATATTATAGATTGCCCGCCGAGACAATTTTCAGTTCTGGACGACGACACGGGACGGGCCCTAATAGTATTGTTTTTATTGAAAATAATAAATAAATCATTTTTTTTACAAATATTATTTAAAAATAATCCTAAAACTCCACATTAAAACTACAATTTTTTTTTTTAGTATTTAAAAAACTCACTCAAAATACACTATAATAGCGTATTTCAAATACTACTTACCCCCTAGATATGATCATTATAAATATTAATTAATTACATGCTAGATCTTATTCCTACAATATAGCCTTATATAAATTATGTTTTGAATAATTAAATTATTACTGTCTTAATAAAAATATTCGAATAGTGTATTTGACCGGGAGGGCTATAGCTAACTTTATGCCAGTTCGGTCACCTGAGGGTTGATGGTGTGGGTCACTGCTAAAAATCCAGGTGGTCATCCATCCGGGTTCAAGCAGCAACGGCCACAGCTTAACCTCAAGTGCCATGCGGCAGCTGAGGTGTCCACTGCGCCCACTGTCTTAATAATATGTACAAAATGCTTACTTTGCAAAAATTGTTCAAAAAGGAACACGTATAAAATAAAATTACAAAAACCTTATACTCACCTTCAAAAGCCATAGTTTCAGAAGAATCTAATGGATTTCCACCATGGCCTGGAATTGATTCTACTTTTTGACCAAATGACAAATGTCTAATTATATGAGTTGTATTGAAAGACGATGATGAATAGGGATGTACATCGTGTACTGAAATAAAAAACAATTGTAGTGGCTTAATCAAAATATTAAGTTTGTTTTATTTTTAAAAATTCTTAGTTTTAAAATTTTTTTTTATGTTTTATTGTACTTTGCCCTTGCGGCATATATTTAGTAATAAATAAATAAAATAATTAACAATTTTCGAGATAGACTCTCATTCATACATATTGACTTGTCTATGTCCAATGTATTATAGTAGAATCTATGATACAAAATATAAAAGGTTTTAATACCTTTATTGAATATCACTGATGAAAAGTTATCCTATATACCTCTTTCTTATGTATGACACTGTCGAACAATCTCTAGGTATTTTATTAAATGTTTTCTTTAATTTTTAGTAATTAAATATATTCTACAATATTGGATTAAAATTGTAACATACAACAATTAATTACTAATTGATTAGTTTGATCATATACAACATATATTCGAATACCACAAATTTAACTTATTTTAAAATACCTAGACTTTTGTAAAACATTTTTAATTATTTCCCTCACGAGACATGTAATAATTGCTTACCGTGCATATTATTGATGGAAAAACTCGTTCCTGGAGCTATATGAAAACTTCCTCCAACCTATTAATCAAAATAAACCATTTCTAAATTAATATAGATGCTACCAAATGTATGAAAGACTATTAAAAAATATTTACAAAAAATTATTTTTTAAATCAAACTTACTCTATTCACTTGAAGTGTACCAAATATTTGACAACCTTCTTTAAATGCATTTTCAGAACTTGAATTTGAATTCTGATTTTTACATTGTTCAATTACAGAAGGGTTAAAGTCCCAGCTTTTTAATTTATAAGCTCTTCTTACATCATCACAAGTGTTACAGCATCTAAACAAAGTTTAAATATTTTTAATCAACATTATACACTGCAATTTAATTGGTTTGGTGGAGCATACAAGATACTAGAGGATTCGGCTCCATAGCAACTGCCACAACTAGGTGCAACTACATCAGAGACATTAGTTTGAGAATGTTTGTTACTCAAAGCCTATAATAATAATAATAATAATAAATAAAGTTTAAGTTAAGTAATAACTTACAAAATAGTATTTTTTTTTAATTTACCTTATTGACTTCTTTACTGCCTACACCTAAAATGTAAAATATTAGTCAAAATTGAATATGTTAATTATTACATAAGACATAATACTAAGTAAAAATAAATTTTATAAATATTTAATTATTTAGCTAAATAAACTTTCAAACATTAACTTTACCATCTGCTTTCTTGGGATCGCTAATTGGTTTTCCATTCAAATCAAGCCGTCTTTTATAAATATTATGGTCAATATGTAAATGCTGTTCACCTGAACTATCAACTGCATCCAAGGATAAATCTACAATTAAGAGTACAAAAAAATAACAGGTGTTACTATTATTTTAACTTAATTTATTATTTCAATATACATTTACATACAATCACAAGATATTCTAGGAACGATAATATCCAAATTTATTTGCAATTTTTTATTACGAGATGTATCAACAAAAAGTTCTTCAGTAGGTGTAGTATCAAGGTATTCAAATAAATTAGACATCATCAAAAATCCAATAGTAAGGAAGCACACTAGGGAAACTGTAAATTAATTAAACAACAATACAAAATTATTTAAAATTTGTTAAATCATTAATTTTAATGTATACTTTAAAGCAATGCTAAGCAAAAAATCAGTATTCATTGGGTAGCCTCAATTTACACAATTTTCTAAACAATTGATTATTTATTAACAGCCTTAAAGCATATGGATCTCTATACTAAAACATTTAATATCGTTATAAAAATCTATAATATTAAAAATAAACACAATTAGGTTATATTGCTTTAATAAATATATCAAATTTAAAAAAAAAAAAAATCTTGACTGTTTTAAAAAAAAATTATTAATGTATAATTATATCATTAATATAAAATTAATATTTTATAAGTACAGACTTAAGGTCTATTCCCACTAGCACGGGACGTGTCAGGGCCGGGTCCGTGTCAGTTTTTGGCTCGTCCGGGTCGGCCCGGTCAGGTATTCACACTATTCAGTGCCCCGTCCGTGTAAATAAAATATTTTATCATCAGTTGAAGTCGGACATCGAAATTAGTAATCACGTGCTAGTTGCCTACGTATTGTCGAGTGAAATTAACCTATGATTTTAGCGGAAGTATTATTATTTGTTTATAATAACTGTGGTGTATATATCGAACGATGTTCGGCCCTGCGGCTATGGGACCTGTTGGTCTAATTTAAACAAACATTCTATACCTCTATAAGTATATAATTTTATTTTAGTTTTAAAATTCTAAAAGATTCCCTACTACCTACTCTTATGTTTTAGACATAACCCATAAGTCTGCACGCAAAGAGTCAGCGGGTTTATTTAGTATTGCATATGCCGTGTGCGCGTGTAAAATAATAAATATTTTAATAAATAACAATAATGAGTGATATAAAACGAAAACGTATTAAACTCGAATTTTAAATAAAAGATTTGAATAATAATTTTAAATACATTATTTTTTATAAAATTATTTAAAATAATAGGCTATTTCGAACAATAAAAATATATTTTAAATAATACATTTTAAAACACATAAAGCACATACCGCATACTTACTGTAAATACTACCGATAGCCCGAAATTTTTACCTATATATTTGTAATTTATATACAAAGTGATCCATATGGTATAAGACAATCATTAACTCAGAAAATATGGGTATTTTAAAAATTAATTTTTTTGTATATTTGTATATATTTTTCAATACCTTTAAAACTTAATACTGACAATTTGTATCTTCATACGTAAAATAAACACGGACTTCGTTTTTCCAAATGGAAACATGTTTTTAGCTCCTAAATTATATGTAGACCGAAGGAAATTTTTTATATGGATATGTTTTGCTTATTGAAATGTCCGTTCCAGGCCGAACACGTCCGGGAACCCGGAAAGAGAATCGTCGCCAACGATATTTTTTTGACCCGGATCTGGCACGGATGCCCGGCCCGGACCCGTCCCGGATAAGTGAGAACGGTCATATTTAAAACTCCATAGATAATTGTTTTTTTGCACCCGGACAGATTCCGACACGGACCCGGCCCTGACACGTCCCGGGCTAGTGGGAATAGACCTTAATAATGTCTGCCTCCAGTATATTTCCAGTCCTTAAATCCAAAAACAAATTGTACTCAACAAATCTTTGGCACATACAATAGAATTTTTCGGAAAAATTTTTAAATTTTTTTTGTATGTACCCACGATATCTTCTAAGCCGTTGAACTGATTTCTTTGTGTAGCAACTCTATAGATGAGAAATTGTACCTGAAAGGTACTTTATTGAGCAAAAAATCACCCCTTTCCCTTCAAAATCGAGAAAAACTCCCAAAAAATATAAATATTTTTCAACATAAAATTACAATGCTCATTATCTTTTTTTTAAATAGTCTAATTAGTTTCAAATTTGTAGAGAATATTCTTTAAACATAGCACTACCAATAAGCATTGACAAACCAAAAAAATATTGTAAACCCTTTTTTTATTTATTTCACTTTTTCAAGCAAAGTTTTAGGGATTATGTCTGAAAATTTGACCCAAAAGTAGATCTAGAATGGACCTATAACATAAACAGTAATTTCAAAAAGATGTCAAACTAAAAGAAAAATACATTTTGACCGTAGTCAATTTCTAGGTTACTATGTGTGAGTAAGTAAATATTGTCAAACTTTTTTTTTTATTAACAAAAACCCAAAAATAGGGGGAAATTACACTGATCGTAATTTATCACAACTCATTCAATTACTATCCACAAATTTGCATCAAAGCGTTTATTTAATAGTGATTTTATCACTTTCAGTTATAATAATTCCTGTAGACTTGTGACTTCCCCGTTTCCACTTTGCCCCAACCCCACTATATTAGCTTTTTTTGATAATGTGATTACAGATTACGACATTTTATTATAGAAAAAAACTATCAAGTGTATTTTTTATCACCAGTTATTTCACCTGGCTTCACCCAGTTAGGCATTTAATATATTTTATAACTAGTATCTTTGCTAAAAAATAAACTTTAACAAATAAAGGATCGATTATTTGCAGACTGGATTGGGCTACTGTGCATTATACAAAGTCAAATAATACAAAATGTTTAACTTAGGGTTGTTCTAATTCTTTGCCCAATGGTCTAATAATTGTTTAACCTCCACAAACAAAGGAATAAGAATAGTATTATAGATATAAAATTGAGCTCAACTGATTGAACGTTTTATAAGTCTGTATACATTTGATTTTAAAAAGTTGAGAATTGGCACTGTAACATGTTATTACCACATAAGTCAAAATAGTTTACAGAGGCAAATTAACAAAATTGTATATACTAAAAACGTTGCAACCGTTCTCCTGTGATATTGGAACATTCATATACACACATATTATATAATTATACGATTTGTAACCAAAAAAAAAAATCATTTATAAAATTTAAAAATTACAACTTTCAATTTTGAATTTAGGGGTGAGGAGCGTGACCAAACTATTAAATTAGTTCCCATCTTTTCGTCTTCCTTTTTTAATGCAAATACACAATGCTCAATTATGAGAGGTCTTCTACATAATAGTTTACCAAATAATATTACAATAAGAGTAGCATAATAATAATATTACTAATAGTACAATAAAAATACATTAATATATTACCAACTCCTCCCCAAACTGTTTTAATTTGTACTTCTTCGAGTGGCTTGGCAAAAGCATCAAACTGTTTTAGTGTGTTTAAACTGAAAAAAGTTTTTTTAGAAGACATAATACCTATTGTTATATTATTTAATTTATAGTTCACTATATGATTTGAAATTGAAATTTACACTGGATATAAGATATTAACTACTGAGTAATGAAATAAAAATTACAATAAATATACACGTCAACTAAGTATAAAATACTACTACTAATAGTAACAATAACAACTGTAACGGATACTATTATACTATTACCGCTATGAAAAATGGAATATTATACACGTATAGAAACTTGTAATTATTTATCAGTGATAATGATATTGTTGTCGGCTTTGCTGTTATCTACTTAGGTTTATTGATAAAACTCATAGACCTTATATTATCACAGGACCCAGATTATATATGAAGTATATAATATGGGTTGTTACAGTTACCACGAATGTTGCATGCCACGACTTGTAGTTACTCCGACATTGCTTTATCAGTCATTTGCCACGAATATAATCTACTTCGAATATACAATTGCTACGATTAGACGGTTAGTCCGAATTTAACATACTCCGACATCGTAAAGTAATTAAATGAATCATACAACAGTTTACTCGATATTGTGATACCACGAAAGTATTTTACTTCGACTATACATGGTAAGAATACTTGACCACCGGGCACCGACTATTCCGTGAATTCTATGATTGTATAATGAAAATATATTATATATTATTGTCAGTATTTGTATGTCTTAGATTTGGAACTCGTTTGGTGTACAAACAGGGAAATTACAAATTACTATTTAAATATAGTTGTCGCTAGTACTGTATTGTGGGCCGAATGATTTAATTTCTATAATGGGCCGAACACTGTCCATTCCGCAACTAAATCCAACTCTACACAAAAGTTTTTGACTAACTACTGATACATTTAAAGACAGAATCGGGTTATTGTACATAATGAATTTAATATATTAAATTCATTAATTACGTTTTATAGTGTATTCTTTATTTAAATTGCACATTTTAATTTACAGTATATCTTTCTTTTAATTATTGGTTAAAAACCTTTGGCAAGGGCAACAAAGGGCATTGTAAGGGTTATATTTAATTAGTTGACATACATAATTGAATACAGTAGGCTATACATTTGAAATAGAAAAGTTATACAAAAAAGATAGAAGAATTTTATAAACAATTTTTTTTATGAATAATAAATATAAATCTGATTGTAATATATAATTTAGAATGTAGGTGATTGATTCAAATTAAGTCCCAAAGGTTTCAGATAGATTTTTAAATATATATTGTTGTTAATCCGTTGTGACTGGTATTATAAACAATTTTGAGGTTTTGTATGACACTGAGAGACGAGAGTCACTTAAATGGACAATAACTTACAATATAAAATTTGGTTTTTAATTACGACTAATATGTGAAAACACTCAAATTTGGTATTATAAAAAAGTAATAATATTGAATAGTTTGGTTCCTAAACCAGTGTTTAAATTTTAAATCAACGGTATAGAGTATAGATTATACCTTTTTTTAATGACATTATTAAGTGGTAAATTAAAAACATTTATATTATGCTGTTAAATTTCTTGACTTTTGGATATCTGCTTTTGTTTATCAAAAGTGATACAAACCATGAAATTATTTCTTGTTACTTTTCATCTTCTACATCAATGTTGTGTATCAAACATTTGTTCAACACCCCTCTAAACATTTTTTGTAGAATCGTCTCTGATATAATTCAATTTGTATTTGTATTGACTTTTGGCTTCAGTATTTGTACAAATAAGTAAATATTAACTAGGCACTATATCGCAACATAATGGATTAAGGGATACCAGAAAGGACCATGGCCCGCTCACTCAGGGCTCACAACATCATGGGATCTTTCAAGATCGATAAAAGACAATTAACATAATTAACAACATTAAAATGTATCTTTATCCCATTTAGTGATTAGATAGTGGAATTATTTTTTAAATATTCTGTCGAGGTTAGAGCAAACAAATTTTAAGCATAATATATATATTTGAGATTTTTAAAATCATTCATAAATAATTATTACATTTTTAGTACTTAGGAAATATCATTAACGGCCGTTTATAGTAGTTTGGGTAAAATTTAAGTATAGTTTAGCCTATAATTTTAATACTAGTTAGGAATATAAATATTTGTTTTTTTTTTTTTTTGTCAAAACAGATAATTTTAATAATATTATTAATTTCTGAAAATAAAATGATTTTATTAGTCGTTTGCGTGTTACAATGTACGGGGCGGTGGCAATCATGTTGTATATGATTATGTATTTACTATTTATAATAATAATTCTATCAAAATTAAAATGAGAAATCTTACAGAATCTAAAATATATAGATTATAGAGAATTTTTATAGGTTATTATATCTACGTATAATCTAATTTCTAAAACAAAAAGTGTTATAAACAAAACTGAATCACGGACGTACAATTAAAATATTATTAAATTGTTAATATTTTTAAATTTATTATTATAATATTCATTATTGAAAATAATAAGTATCAGTAAAATGTTATCATTTCTACAATCATTTATTTTGTAAATAACAAATTATTATAAAGAATATGCGTGTCTATGGAGATGCATTTTAATTTTATATTATGTTGTCTTTTGTAAAACTTACAAAATGTTACTTGGTATTGTTTTTTTAACGCTCATACCAATTTTAATGGTGAGTCCTCCCCTAACAACTTAACGTGAGCCTCACTCCTCCATAAATCCGGCCTTGTGTTAAAATGTTAACAATACAAAATGCATAAATCACATTAGACCTACTAAAATTTGGTTAGGTCAGTCCTTGAATATGCTTTTATTTTGAATTATAACATAGTCTACTTATCAATTTTGTAAAATTGATCCAGAAATGATTCCTATATTTTTTACTTTTTAAAGTTTTAAGAAAATAAAGCCAATTGTTGAATCGTCTGTAAAATACTATGTTGACAGAATTTAAATGATATATTTTTAAATATATCATATAAATAAATAACTATATCATAAATTATATAAATATAAGACTGTTCTGAAAAATGATGATTGGATTCATTTATTGTACTAAATATTAGTTTACGATTTTATACGCAATTTTACGTTTCTACACAACGACAAATTTATCTCGGTCCAGTAAACCGAATTATAACTCGTGTAGTTCAATTCAAAATGTTGGCTTTTTGAGTGCTCTCAATAAGCACTTTTAACTTAGCTTATTTATTATTTACATTTTTTATTTATAGTCTTCTATTAACTCTACAAGTTTTTTATACTTATTTTATTTTTCTCTACAATTTTAGTTGCAATTGGTAAATAATTTGTCAAGTTTATTGCATATTGTTGTACATATTTTAATAAATTATTGTAAAACTTGTTGTAAACAAATTGTAAATTGCCTTATTAGCGTAAATGTAATACTATTATAAATACATTATTGTTATTATTATTAAAAAACATAAATTTTCAATATAGTGTTGAGGACAATTTTATCATTCGGCGGTTAAAATGTCGTTTATCTAATCTCGGTTTAAGATTAATCGGAGATTAAAAAAATTCTGAATTTATCAATCAAATTTAATCCTAGCTTAAGTAAAGTGGGTTTTACAAACAGAAGGTTTATTTATTAATAATTATTAATTAAAGTAAGTTACAACGTTAAAATAAAAATGTTGTTAACTTTATATTGGTAAATATCATCTGCTAGCGGTGCTTAATTAGACATACTTCCCAATGTTGGATTTTAATTTTTAATATATGTATGCATTTTTCGACAAATTTTCTAGGTTTTTTAGGAAGGCAATTTGCAATTTTCTCTTTTGAAGATCTCCAAAATTATTTTTTTGAAAATTCAATGATAATTTATTCCCGAATTACATTTGAATTTATTTTAGGCATAACATTTTAAATAAAAAATGGGCTTCCTAAGAAACCCAGACAATTTGACAACAAATCCACACATACTTTAAAAATTAAAATCCAACATCGAGAATTATGTCTAATTAAGCACCGCTAAAACGCATGAAAACTAGTTATGCTCCGACCCCTTTAAGGGGTAGATTTACTAAACTCTCACAATGTATAGGGAAACACTTTATCAATGGGGTGGCGTTTTTATTTCTTTGATATTTATACTTAATATTTTTTTATAAAAAAACACGCTGCGGTCCCCTTAATGTTATTTTAACTTTGAGTTACTTCTTGCTGAACAATTTTAAACTTGTTTTTACTCAGATGAATACATGCGAAAAAATCTTGGTCATCCCATATGGTTATGTGGTCAATTTTTGTCGACAATAAACAAGGTCTTCGAATTTCGTTGAAATATTGGTTTATAATATAACCTAAAAAATAAACTTCTGCGTCACTATTATGGTCGCTACTAATCTAATTATTTCAGTCATCTAGAATTAAATATGCATACAATTTATATCAAACGTGTAGGTAATACAATATTCATAATTTAAGCACCCGTTTTGAATTGAATTGGTAGTTACATTGAAATAACTACCTACAATGTAACTGTTAATTCTATGTTTTGTTACATGCAATCATAAAGTATACCTCATCACTATAATTCGATAAAAAGTTTTAAGTGTGTAAAAACAAGCAAATAACTAATAATAATATAGGAATATTGTATTATAAAATAATAGGTAGTAGATATTTCAGTAAAATTAAATATTACTTGATAATATTGATACTAATCTCAATTCTCAGTTTAAAGTTTTTAACTAACTATAATATGCTAACTAACTGTGATTAATATTCAGCTAAAATTTAACCGAAAGAGTCAAATAGATAAAGTCAATTTTTTAGTTTAACAAAGATTGACATTAAATAAAGTGTAAATTATTTTAACAAGCAGTTGATAAAATGACCTTAAGTATACTATATTTGTATCGATAAAGTAACAGAGTGAATAAGTATTACAATTTTACAGTTTATCAATTTATTATTTATAGTTTTATATAAATTAGTTGTTGGGTCATGTCAGTGTAAATGGAATTTAAGGTCCATATAATGTTTATCAATGTAAATGTCCTTTAAAATAGCGAAATCATAACATTAAGATTTTTTGATAAGTCATGTCGATGTAACTGGAATTCGAAGTAAATGTAATTCGAAGCAATAATTACAAATGGAACTTCGATGTAACTGTAAATCGTGGCATAAAAAAAATTAACGAAACATATTTTCGTTGTAAATGTATTCGTGTCAATTGTC